ATTTTGAAGGCTTAAAGGGGATTTATGCAGGGTGTAGCCGTTGTGCTGGCTCACGGTGAACAGGGCTGAATTTCACCCAAACAGTGTGACACACCAAATCTTAACTTATTTTCTTAGCTTCTGTTTACCCAGCACTCATATTTGAAAGCAGAACGTATAGAGTCAGTGGCCTCAAACAGCAGGTTCTCCTCGAGAATCTTCTCTCCTCTTACAATGGATGAATGTGACAAGGTGGGTGAAGTAATATCTGTCATTGGACCAACTGCTGTTGGTGAGAGAAACAAGCTTTCGAGCTTACCCAGAGCTCTTCTTCAGGTCTGGGAGACGTACTCCGAGTGTCACAGCTAAACACAAGGTGGAGCAGATTGTTTGGAGTGAGTAGTTAACACATATTTCAAGGGACCATTCAAGGTGAAGTGGCCCATGAACTGTGACATTAAGTACATTTCCCAGACCTGAAGAGGAGCTCTGTGTTAGCTCCAAAGCTGGGCTCTCTCACCAACAGAAGTTGGTCCAATAAAAGATATTCCCTCACCCACCTTGTCCCTCTCATATCCTGGGGCCGACACAGCTCCAACAGCACTGCATACAACAATGGAGCGATGTGTGCATTCAAAGTTGTTGGGTATTCTCTTGTACCCTCCAGTGTCCTGTAGATTTGCCTTGCTCGTTTTAGCATCTGCACTGGTGAGATGTCACTGACTGTTGGGATGGAGATGCCTGGCGTCCTGAAATTCACAGAACAGTTCTGAATTCCCTGGGGCTGTCCCTTATTCTGCAGTTGGAGTCCTTCCTTTATTTCGGGAGTGCTGGGGCTGTGGTGCAGTGACATGACGTGATGTCACTGCGTAGGGAGGCTCTTTCCTGATTGCAGGAGGAGAAGATCATGATTTTGTGGTGGCACTCCTTCGCATGCTTGTTTTGTTCCACCAATCAATGGGAAAGGCACTGAAACATTCTACAGTCTCATGTTTGAGTAAGATGGGCTCCCCCAAAACCTGCCCTTGTTGGGGTTGCCTTAATCCGAATGCGGAATCTGAACTGACATCTGGAGTTACACTCTATGTGGAATCATCCTGGGCCCATTTTACAGGGCACAATGGCATTTTCCTTTTGAGAAGTTCTTATCTGTGAAGCACCCTCACCAGAGGATCTTGGAGAAGCTGGAACATATTAGTGTTAATGAATCACCATGATGCATGGGCAGTCAGTAAGAGCCAGATTGTCCCTGGTCCTTAATGGGGGTGCAGAAGGGTATGTGGGAATGAGGAGACTTGCCACCCCTTGAATTCTATGAGCAAGGATCAGGGACAAGTGCAATCTCTGCCCTTTGGGGAGCATACAACCTGCTCACTCTGTGCATCTAAATGTACGATCTAGCCCTAATTTATCCTCTTCCCTGCTATGTCACTTGGATAACTGTGCTGTTACGGTCTCGTGCACTACTTGATATTCAGTGAAACTTGGTGATTCCAGGACTTCACGTGCTGGGAGCATCACTGCTGTCATCAGTAGGGATCTTCTCAAGCCCCACCATTTGCATCTGGATTTGGAGCATGGACCGTCTTTTTTGTCTGTTTGTACAGTACCTAGCACCATGGGGTCCTGGTCCATATCTGGGGCTCCTGGGTGCTACCACAACACAATATAATAAATAATAATAGGTTCTGATTTATATCTGCCCCCTAATTCAGGAGGGTCAGCTCTGCGCCCAGTCCAAGTCATGAGCTTGATTGTAACCTCCCTTACACCAGTTTGACTCCAATGCAACTACAGTAACTGCAGCAGAGTCACTCCTCATTTGCACTGGTGCAAGTCAGACCTGAATCAGGCCTATATATGTAAAGTTTCCCTTTTAAGGCTTGCATATGTATAGTCATTAACTACTATTAAGTGGTTACTGTTATTAATCACTATAATTAAATGTACAAGTGTTAGTAATCAAATTATTTTCCTTCTGGATGTCAGTTGGGAGACAGCATGATCTAAAAGATGCTGTATGGATAAAGATGACTTGTACATGTCCTCTCTTTGCATTGGAACACCTCATTTCCTACCCCAAACCATGCTCTGTGGACCCCATCACTAGGATCTGAGCACCTCACACTATTTAACCTATTTCTCCTCAAAACACCTCTCTGAGGTAGGAAAGTGCTACTGTCCCCATTTTGTAGGGAGGGAAATGACACACACAGAGATGAAGTAACTTGCCCAAGGTCATAAGGGAAGTCTGTGGCAAAGCAAGGAATTGCACTGGGGTCTCCCAAGTGTTAGATTATTGGGCTAGCCACTGGACTCTCCTTTCTCTCTGGTTTGGAGCACAGGGCCCAACAGGCATTCCTCACTCATTTTCATTCACATGCAAAAACAGCTCTTGAGATAAAATTTAGCCCTTGGATTTAATGTAATTGCCAGACTTTTAGGGCTGGGTTGTACAACCCTTCCTTTGGTGAACCCTTACCCACTCAAATAGTCCCATAGATGGGAGTAAGAGTTGCACAATTTCTCCCTCAAGCTTCCTGTGACCTCTGTCTCCACAGCTCTGCCTTGCACTTTGCTCTACTGAACACAATCGGATGCAGTGGTGCCTTGGAACCCATTGTGAAACTCATTTCTGCATTGAGAGTCTACAGTGAGAAGCTGAGATGAAAGGACTAGAATCCTCTTTCAAATTCTGCCAGCTTGTCTTTTTCCACACAGTGATCTTTGGCCTGATTAAGTATTGCCCTCCAAAATACAGAATAACTGTGGACGAAGTGGGAAAAAATCACCCACGTGGAAATGTTATCTCTGAGCCCATGTCAGATGATAGTCATTCTTTAACACACACTGTATCTGGAAGAGGGGATGTATATTTGTCATGCCAAAAGGGCAATTTTGTGCACTTTGATTTGTTTGCAGATTTATTAATATATCCATTGTGACAAAGTTCCTCCTCTGCCTTGGCGGGTCCTGCACTTGTTGGCGGATATGCTTGCCTCAGAGATACACGGCAGCCCTCAGTTTGGCCATTTTTGCTAGTGGCTAAACCTGCCATTCACTTAGCTAACCTCATCCCTGGCCAGCATGGGGAAAAGGAAGGAGAACAATCCCCACAGTCTCTGCTGGTCCACCTAGTGGGTTGGGGGACAGGCCAGGGACCTTCCCCTCTGGTGGGACCCACAGTCCAGGTCAACTCCTCCTGTATCCAATAGGGAGTTGGGGGGATGGGGGGAACCCGGGCCTGCCCTCTACTCCGGGTTCCAGCCCAGGGCCCTGTGGATCACAGCTGTCCACAGTGTTTCGTGTAACACCTGTGTGACAGCTACAACTCCCTGGGCTACTTCCCCATGGCCTCCACCCAACAGCTTCTGTATCCTCACCACAGGACCTTCCTCCTGATGCCAGATAGCATTTGTACTTCTCAGTCCTCCAGCAGCACACCCTCTCCCTCTCAGCTCCTTGCGCGCTCCGCACTGACTGAAGTGAGGTCCTTTTTAAACCAGGTGCCCTGATTAGCCTGCCTTAATTGATTCTCGCAGCTTCTTAATTGGCTCCAGGTGTCCTAATTAGCTTGTCTGCCTTAATTGGTTCCAGCAAGTTCCTGATTGTTCTGGATCTGCCCCTGTTACCTTACCCAGGGAAAGGGGACCTGCTTAACCTGGGGCTAATATATCTGCCTTCAATCACTCTCCTGTAGCCATCTGGCCTGACCCTGTCACACCATATAAATATATCAATAAAAAGGCATTAAAAGAAGATTAAAGGTGCACAGTGACATGATCCAGAGGATATATCTACACTGCAATCACAGGATGTGATTGCATCTCATAGAGACATCCCTGAGCTAACTTTAATCCAGATAGTCCAAGTAATTACCTAATGTCCTGGGCAGGCATTGTACACACAATGTTTCCCTATAGACGTAGATACAAATGCACAGAATCTTCCAGTGCTGTCTATTTCTCAGACAGAACCAGAGGAAATACCATACTGGATTAGACCAGTGAATCATCTATTTATTTATGTACTGTTTAGATTTGTTTGATTTTAGTTTGGGGGTTTAACATCTAGCTAGCTAGTACTTACCTGAGGGGAAGGCTGGGGTTTGTAGTCCCTGTGCTGAGGCATACCTGTCAAATTTCTTTATGATGTGTGAACTGTAGAAGAACTTAAAATATGTTTCTGACATGGATGGATATTCTGACATATCCATCAAGTGGATTTCTAATGACACTTGAGTTGAATATGTTATGTTGATGGATGACTGCACAGAAAATTAGTATTTAACCTACAAGATCTTAGAATCATAGAATATCAGGGTTAGAAGGGACCTCAGGAGGTCATCTAGTCCAACCCCCTGCTCAAAGCAGGACCAATCCCCAACTAAATTATCCCAGCCAGGGCTTGGTCAAGCCTGACCTTAAAATCGCCAAAGGAAGGAGATTTACCGCCTCCCTAGGTAACCCATTCCAGTGCTTCACCACCCTCCTAGTGAAAATTTTTTTCCTAATACCCAACCTAAACCTCCCCTACTGCAACTTGAGACCATTACTCCTTGTTCTGTCTGTGGCCTTGTGTTTAACTCTGCTCCTGATGGATGAGTTATTAGTTGTTTTACTCTACAAAGGGGAAAACATTGCAAGCTTTTTAGGCCAGGGACCTTGTCATCTTCTGTGTTAAGAATGGGCCCAATTTTCTCAGATCTGCAGTTTCTGCTGGAATCGCGGTAGGTGCTCATCGTCATTGAAAATCAGGCCCCTCTGATTTTACACGTCTACAGAAACTTTAACTGAAGGTTTTAAACAACACCAAGTTAGATCTCACAACAGGAAAGGGTATTGGATATGGTGGGATTGCTTTCTCCCACCCATGAAATGCAGCCACCTCTGGGGAGGGGAGGGAATAAAGCAGCTCTGCACCTCCCAGCAACACTACACCAGCAATTAGGACAGGAGGTGGAGAATATCTTTTCCCAGTCAAAACCGATGAGGGAGCTGAGGTAGGGAAAATGTAGTTACCTGAGTTTAGCCAGAATAACGGAGGTGACACCCCTTATTTTAGAAAAAGTGCCGTGCGAACTTGAATACCACAGGAGGTCAGGACCTGGATTTATGTCTTAGCTACAAGAAAGAGGAACAGGACAACAAAGGCTGGGTTAAAGCAAAGTCACAAGTGTATGTAAAGCCACTGCGGAGTGGTCTCCTGCATTCTCAGTTCTTGTGGTCTCCAGACTCTACTGGAGTGAGGAATCGAAGCAGGGGAAAAGTCAGTGTCTGAATTATCCCACCTAGGGGAGTTGGTAACGCTGGTTATGCCTAGACGGACACCGCTGTTGGGATCCTGCTTGCCTATCCATCAGCTCCTTCCAGCCCTGTCCATACTCAAAAATGGCTCTGATCCAAGGCTAAGTGTTACAAGTAAGGGTTTCTAGCACCCATTGGACTTGCATTACTAGCCTGGCTCTGTAAATCAGTTCAGTGTGTCCACACTCAGCACTCTGTGGCCTGGGCTTAGTGGTTCCTACCCCATAGTTGAGGGGGCGGGCCTTCAGTTTTGTGTGGGCCTGGACCCGACTGTCCTAATATCTGCAAATAGTACACAGCACTCCTATGCTGTAGCGGGTTTCCCATTCCACAGTTCCCAGCACGGCTCCCCAACAAGGGGTTGTGGGAGAACCTGCAAATCACTGTAGGAGCAGAAGCGTATTCTGAGAAATAGAGTGAACATCCTACAACCTCCCTCCAGCCCCCACTGGATGCACTAGGGCAGCTGTAGATGACTGCAGGGCATTATGGACAGGTACAAGGCATTTCATTTACTGCACGTAATGACCTGGGAAGGGGCCCACAAAGTTCAGGCAGGTTCCTGCAGGGTGAGGCAAGAGTAGCGAGGGATTGTGCCAGAAAATGGCCGCAGTGCAGCTGTGACACCTTCCCAGCCTCTCTAACTTGGGAATGGTTTGACCAGAACCAGTTTGGGTGGAGGCGCTCATAAGACCAGCTCGGAGATGGTGCAGTCATTATCTGGCAACAGGTGCTTGTGTGTGCAAACATCAGCCTGCCCATGTTAGCACACAGGATGTCCCTTTCTCTAGCAGGGGGTGCAGGAGCCTTCCATGTCATGCTTAGAAGTGAGATTAAAGCTAACTAGACCCGCATATTCCAACCCAGGCAGAGAACAAGGAGTTCTGATTGTTCTCTTCAAACTAACTAGCTCCTGAGGAGGGAAATCCCAGTCATAAGGCATGGTGAAGAGTTACACCATGGGCCAGCTCTGCAGATGGCATACACTGGTGTTGTTCCACTGACTTCAGTAGAGTCTTGTTGACGAACTACACCAGCTGGGGATCTGGCCTATGGTATCCGAGCACAGAGTCAAAGCACGTTTGGAGAGTGTGGCTGCCGGCGGTGGTGGACTTGGGGCTCATCGAAAGCACGGCTTCGAGCCTGATTCTGAGGGGTGAGCACTCGCAGCTCCCACTGAAGGCAACTCATTGCCACCTGTAAAGTTCAGGCTGCTAGTGATCAAGCCCTCATAATCCATTCCTGTGCTCTTCTTCTCCACTCACCTTCCTCTCAGGGAGCTCTGAAAGGCCTGGGAATTTGGAGGCCGGCCTGAGAAATCTCTGAGAAGCCCGAGTGTGTGGTTGAAAGCTGGTACAGTGTGGCCTAGTGGCTAGGAACCTAGACTAAGAGGAAAGCTTAGTTTTATTGCAGGTGCTGCTGTGTGACTGCCCTGTGCCTCAGTTTCCCTAGCTGTAAAAATGAGGTTAATGATACTTACCTCCTTTCTAAAATGCTATGTAAGAACTCAGCAGGATCATTAAATGTGTATGCAGGCACCCATGTTCTGTAAGTGCTGTACACCCCCAGTGCGCTCTGTAAATGATACAAAAGACAGAACAATCATTGGTAGGGTCAGCACAATACAGAGAACTTGAAGGCATAAGAGAATTAAAAGGGAAGGGGGAGAAATCTGGGCAGAATCATGCCCTGCTCCCCAAAATTTTATCATTTACAGGGTGGCGAATAAACCACCTCTGCCCAAGGAAACGCCCTGAATAATTCTCACAGGGGGACAAAAGGATTAGAGGGACAAAAGGATCTGTACAATGAACAGCTGGCCGGACCCCTGCACTTGCATTTCATTGTTTGCAATTTGTAAAATAGGTACAGGATAGCAAAATGCTAGAGCCTCATGGCACTATGTGTGGAAGTAGAGGTTGCTGTCACCTACTCTTTAATAAGAACAGTACATGTTGCTCTGGTAGAATAAAGCATATGGAGTCCTGCTGGGTTTGGTTCTTGTGGGTTACATTATTTGATCCCTGCAGCATCTTTTCTTTGGGGTTGACACACTTTTGGTTTGCTTGGCGTTTATGGTTCAACTCACCCTAAATCTCCAAGGGGAAAGTCCCCAGGCATTAGCCCTCCCCACCCTTGCTCCTTCCTTCCTAACTTTGCCTTTAGATGATTCTGGAGGATGGAGGGACCGAACAAATCAAATCCATCTTAATGAAAGCCAATGCAGTATTTAAAATGCTATGGATGCCTAACAGCGACTAGATGCTACTGCGACTGGTGCTCTGTACATACAGAAGATTGTAATCAGCAAGCACTGCAATCGATTTAACTCCTGTGTACTCTTAATGGCAAGCACCAGGTACTTGCACCAGAATAGAAATGCAAACTCAGCCTGAAATCAGGGTTGCCGGGTGTCCGGTTTTCGACGACCCTGGTGGCTCTGGGCTGCACCACTGACCGGGCCGTTAAAAGTCCAGTCAGTGGCGCTGCAGGTCTAAGGCAGGCTAGTCCCTATCTGTCCTGGCACCTTGCTGCACCCCAAAAGCAGCCAGCAGGTCTGGCTCTTAGGTGGGGGGGGGCATGGGGCTCTGTGTGCTATCCCCACCCCAAGCACTGGTTCTGCACTCCCATTGGCCGGGATCCTGCCTTAGCCCCACTGCACCGCTGACTGGGAGCCGCCCGAAGTAAGCCCATGGCCATGCCCCAAACCCCTGCCCCAGCCCTGAGTTCTCCCACCAAACCCCTCATCCCCGGGCCTACCCCAAAGCCTGCACCCCCAGATGGAGCCCTCACCCCCCCCCACTCCAACCTCCTGCCCCAGCCCAGAACCCCCTCCTGCAGCCCAAACCCCTCATTTCTGGCCCCACCTCGGAGCCTGCACCCCAGTTAAAGCCCTAACCGCCTCCCGTATCCCAACCCCCTATCCCAGCCCAGTGAAAGTGAGTGAGGGTGGGGGAGAGTGAGCCACCGAGGGAGGGGGAATGTTATGAGCAGGGGGCGGGGCCTCGGAGAAGGAGCAGGGCTAGGGTGTTGGTTTTGTGCAATTAGAAACTTGGCAACCCTACCTGAAATACTGGGACACTAGCCAACATTGTGGAATCCATCACTGGAGATTTTTAAGAGCAGGTTAGACAAACACCTGTCAGGAACGGTCTAGATAATACTTAGTCCTGCCATGAGAGCAGGGGACTGGACTAGATGACCTCTCGAGGTGCCTTCCAGTCCTATGATTCTACGATTCTAATATCTTGCTGTTAAGTGTTCAAGCTTGTAATTTACTAACGAGGTTGGTAGGGAGCCTGGTAATACACCTGGAGAACTGAGCACTTCCCCCCCGACCTCAACCCATGTGCCCACACTTTTTTTTGTAATCAAGAAAAACACCTAACAACCTAGGAAATTAAGTGCACAAATACATTAATCCAACATGAAGGGTTAAGCACTAAACGGTCAGGAAAGGCAAAAGTTATGACTGGGTGCACAAACCACTTCCTTTTGTGCACAGGCTTTATGATACACCCTTTAAAGACATGAACACTGATTATATGAATTACTTGGGGAGTATGTGAGGCTGTAGCGAATGGTGAATTATTCACAGTTATCAGAGAAACCGTATGTAATCACATAGTCAGAGACCTCCGTCACCATGTAAAGGCGCAAGGACAGTCACAGAGGAGCTCCTGGAACAGCCCTTGCTTCTGCAGTTCCTCGCTTTTGCATGCTGAATTGTGCAACTTTAGGCCTGGTCTGCACACAGTGTTTGTACTGATTTAGCTACTTCGGTTAGGGGGGCTGCTTTTATACTAGTGAAAACAGTACAACACCTGCTGTGAATGCAGGGACACCAGTGTAAAGGTGTTTAGACCAGGATAACTTTATTTCCCAAAATTTAGGGGAGTAAGTTATACAGGTATAACCATCCCCACACTAGGAGGTTCTGCTTTAACTATAGCGGTGTCTATAGTTAAAGCAGCAACACAGCTGTGTGTTGACCAGCCCGTAGTGTTGCACTGTCACAGGTTTTGCATTCAATAGCCTGTGGTCTGTTGTCAGTACGGCTGCAGGGGTATAAGCACCCGGCCTATGTTGCTGCCAACCAACTCTCACTGGCAGAAGCGTTACACACGAGTCGAATTTGGCTGATCATTTGCACAGTCGCTCAGGCTTGCCTTCCCTTCAGCGTTTGATCCAGGTGTAGCTCAAGCGTTACCCCTCACCTGACTCTGGTGTGCACACAAAAGTTCGGTGGTGCTTTAAACTCAAGCTAGCTGGCCTGTGAGGGGGTACGAGTTGGAATTCAAGTGGGGCTGTTCCAGCTAAGAATGCAGTGGGGATGCAGCGCCTCTGTGCTGCTAATGCAAACACTCTGCTGCGAATCGGATCAGTCTGTGCAGCTCGGAGTGTTGTTTTGCCGTGTGAGCGCTTTCACTGGAGCTGGCTAACTCAGGGAGAATTAACTCAAGTGGAGATAACTTGAGCTAACGCTGCAGTGAAGACGAGCCCTTAGTTACACTGGAGCATATTGATATCCAGCTGGATGAAAGGTCCCATACAAACGCAGTATCGATATCCCCACTTGGTGCGCTCAGGTTTTTGCCAGCCATTGCTGGGCGGCCCATTCGTCGCTTCTTGATGTTTGCTTGTTGTGTCTGCTAAAGGAGCTGCGTAGACTTGAAAATGCCCACATGCATATCTAAGCCGGACAGTTTAGCTGTTCTTTTAAGTGATGGTCAAAAGCATCTAGAGTTTGCGAACTGTGCCTCTTTTTGGTGCATTATAAATCTAAATAAAACTAATTCAAAGCTGAGCTTGACATCCGTCTCCAAACAATGGTTCAGGAATAATGAAATGAGACACACGTTTTTAACATCAAGGGCAATTAATCATTGGAAGGGTTACCAAGGGATGTAGTAAATTCTCTACATCTTGGGAGTCTTTCAATCAGGATTTGATGTCTTTCTAAAAGAGAAGCTCTCATTCAACCACAAATTGTTGGGCACCATGCAGGAATTCCTGGGTGAAATTCTCTCTCTGTGTTATGCAGGGCTAGCTGATCAAAGTGGGCTCCTCTGGCCTTAAGATCTATGACAGCTAGGAAACCATTTCTACCACAATGTACCGGGGAAAGACGAGACAACCCGTTAGAGCAGAACTTTCTTGCAGTTCTAATTATTCTGTGACATCACAGAACTAATGACCAAGGCAGCTAGATGAACCCTGATGCTCTTTTAGGCTCTAATCCTGCAAACTTTTGTGCATGTGCTGGACTTTACTCATGTGCATAAATGAAGTACTTGCATAGGTGTTTGCAGGACTGAGGCTTTAGACTCAATTGCAGTTGTTATCAGCATTGCTCTGTACCTTTGGATCTGATTTTTCTGGGTCGAAGTCCCGTTAGGTGCCATAGCAGTGCTTGGGCTGATATATGGTGACACTGATCAGCCATGTGGCATTATCCTGATTCTTGATCCTATAGAAAAGAATGAGTATTTTTCTCAAAAACATAAAATTAGAGGTGGAAACTATCTGTTAAGACCAATCAGGGAAGCACAGAGTCACAGACAGAGGACATATAACATGCTAAACTGATTTAAAATTTTGTATTAAAGCTAATGCTAAAATTATATAACACACAGGTTAAGGAAAGCATGTCTGTACATCTGGGTATAGTGCTTATATTATCCAAAAGTACAAAGTTTGGCTTAAAAGTCATAGAACACTTATTGTACATAATCTGCAATATTCCAAATTAAGGTTAATAAATTTAACAATACAATTTAGATATTAGCATACAAATATCCGGGTACATCACTCATGAAAAGTTATACAGAGAGTTGGTTGTGGAAAGCAAATATAGCAATGAGTGAAGATTGTCTCTTGGTAATTGAGAATTTAGGATAGGTTGTCTGCTAGAAAATACAATCCATCAGGAAAGTATTCCAGTTACTTTCCCGTCAGCTTCTCATCGGCTCTCCAGCTCATCTCCGATGGTATTGCTGATGTCCGGTGATGTGTTCTAGGTAGATATCCCTTCACTACCTGATAGCATCCGACACATGATTGGCCGCATCAGCCGAGTGTAACGCTGACCAATTCTGCATTCCTGCAACACTCGCTTGTTGCTGGGGTTCTATTTGGTCAGGGCTCCAATGATCAGAGCATGAGTTTCAACCTGGTAACCCCTAGCTCTTAAAGTGTCAGCCAGAGGAGTGTATTTCTCCACCTTTTGAGCTTGAGCTTTGGAGAAAGCCAAGGTCCTGTTCTCAAAGGGCACTGTGATGTCTACCGTGACGATCTTCTTTTGGTTCTCATTGGTGATGACAATGTCTGGTCGCAATTGGCTGTCTGTTCCAGGGATGGGGGAGTTCACAGCCACCTAAACTGAATCTTAGCCTAAAAGGTCAACTATACGTAAAATGGTTTCTACAGTCAACTCTATGAACTCTTGCAAATAGACTGTATGAGACTCTCAGGTGAAATCTTGGTTGATCCAGAGCTGTCTATGTACCAAGGATGTCCCTGTCTCAGTTATTCCTGTATGACAGCTGAACATAATCTAAATAAACAGTGTGTGTAGCACAACTCATTTCCTTATGCAGAGTTTATGATCTACCTGTTCAAGACATATGGATTCCCTTAGTTACAAATATATTATTGTTCAGAGTACTTGACCAAACATAGACAAGAACCCTGCCCCTAAGTACTGATCATCTAGTGATGCCTGAGGTAACAGCTAAGGTATAAGGACTTCTGATAGCAGTGGCCAAGTAAGTCCCACACTATTTGCACCAGGCACATTCATAACTCACTGGGAGATGTGATTATACACAGTTATTTATCTATGGAGATTTTTATGCCATTCACCTTGCTGTAGTATCTGAGCACTTTACATGGAGATTGTGGAATAATTTCCTCTCTACTTTCCCTGGGGTAATCGTAACAATTTGCAAGTCAATAATTATTTCTCTGTGTCTCTCTCTGGTCCCTGTGCATGCATACATACACACAGAGCAAACGTCCTGGAAGACTTGGGAGTGCATTTTTCCAAATATCCAGTGTGAAGCTCACTTTGAAGCATCCATTCTGTACTCACCTTCTCCCCAAAATAAAGCCATGTAAAAACAAACTTATTTAAACTGATGCAAGAAAAAGAAGATAGAATAGAGAGGAAGGATTGTCTTGTGGTTAAGGCTCTAGGAAAGCTGGGTTTTAGCCCTGCCGCTGCCACTAGCTTGTTGTCAGACTTTGGGCAAGTCACATCACCGCTCTGTGCCTCGGTTTCCCCATCTGTACAATGTGGATTTTAATTGCTTACCTACCTCCCGGGGGAATGTGTAGCTTTATTCATTATTGTCTGCAACGAGTCCAGAGATCTACGGACGGATCGAAGTGCAAAGGTTCCTTATGCAGATTTTTGACTTACAACGGGAGTCCTGCTCACAGCGGAACCTGCCGTCCCCGTGTGAGTTGGCGCGGGGAGCGTTTTCAGGGAGCACACGCAGGCAAAGGCTGGCTTGCTGCCTGGACGGCGGGTTGGTACTGGCTGGTAAATAAAGCAAAGCTCCCGTGGCTGGCTGGGGGCGCCTGGTATTTGCTCTGTTCCGGAGTCTAGCCGGCTTGTGCATTAGGTGGCTGACGCCTTGCTAATCAGTAGGTAAAGCCCAGCCGCTTTGGGCAGGGCCAGGGCGGCTCTCTGGGGCTGCTCGGAGGTGAGCGGGCATTGCTTTCTGCTGCCGGGGCGTCCTTGCAGCCCGCTGGCTGGGGCTGGGGCTGGGGCTGGGGCTGGGCTCGCCTCGCCTTCCCCGCTCACACTCCGCGGGATGGGCTGGATCAGCTGCCAGCTTCCAAAGCTCCAGGGGGCTGAAGCCGGTAACTGACCAGGGGGGTATTTGCCTGGGCCCCTGCACCCCACAGCCCGCCTCCTGCTGGGGCCAGCGGCTCTCAGGGCTTGGGTGTCTGCAGGGCGCCCTGTTGCCGGGTGGTGACTGGCTCTGATTTCCGCGGCTGGGGCCGGCAGCCGCTTTGGATTGTGCGGGGCTCCTGCTCCTGGCTCGGAGAGGCTGCAAAACGCCGCCCCCCCCCCCCCCAGCTGCAGATAAACATGGCACGGGCGAGCGCGCCCCCTGCTGGCGTAACAGCGCTGGGCTGCGCTTTCATGGTTCGGTTCCCCGGCCAGGCTCATTCTGGGGCCCTCCAGCGTGTTGTATTCTCCAGCTGTTTGAAGTGTTTTTTTCAGATCAGATTGAAGGAGATTTTGAAATAAAACGTAATTTTGAATTAAAAAATCGAATGCCAGTATTCCCCCCCCCCCCCGACTGAACCAATCTGGTGAATTTAACACAGTTTTGGAAGTGTTCTGGTCGACCCAAATCTGTATTTTTTGGGGGGAGGGGCTGTTTAACTGAAAAATCTCACCCCGCTCTGCCTGAGAGCTTTCCGGGTGGTGCGGGGACACCTCCTCCTTCCAAGGCTGCATGCCTGAATCGGAAAGCCATCGGTTTGCCTACGCTGTATGCTGATTTATTATTTGTATTGAAGTGGCGTGCCTAGAGGCCCCAGTCATGAACCCATTGTGTTAGGCTCTGTACAGACGCGGAACAAAAAGATGGTCCCTGCACCAAATTGCTTCCAGTCTAATAGTGTGTGTGCAATGTTGTCCTCCCCAACACTGAAATATCATGATCCAGGCCTCTTGAAAAATCATGAGCTTTTAAAAAATAATGAGTTTAGGCTCTTTTTATCTGCTGTGTTTTTAAAGTCTTTAGTGTTCACATTTTCCAGCGTTACTCCACAAACATGAGGGCTAAAAACTTTGAGCGTGCAATAAAAGCTGAGATTCCGAGGCATTTGTACATTCTAGGGGATGTAAAATATCATTTAAAAAGTTAACCGTTTAAACAATTAAAATTATATTGTTTAAATGGTTAACCAATTAAAGGGAGAGGGGCTGGGGCTGCTCTGGCCAGCCCAGGGCTGAGGCTGGGGTTGCTCCCGCCGGCACGGCTGGGGTTGGAGTTCAGTTCAGCCAGCGAGACTGGGGCTGCTCTGGCTGGTGCACCTGGGGCTGGGGTTGGCCGGTTGGCATGGAGCTGCTGGAGACGGCGGGCCTAATGCTTACCGGCTAATATTTTACATCCCTAATACATTCCAAGGCCAGAAGGGACCATTGTGATGATCTAGTCTGACCTCCTGCATAGCTCATGTCAGGGAACTTGCCCAAAATAATTCCTACAGCAGATCTTTTAGAAAAGCTATTGAATTCTCTTCCTATTGCATTCAGTGGGAATCTGGCCATTGACTTCAGACAGTGGGCCTAGGCCTTGTGCTAGGATCATTTTTAGAAGGAGCTGTGTATCAGTGTCTGGGAGTGCTAATGTGGTCCCCTGGGATGCTGTAAGCAGGGTCTCTCTGATCCAGTTGGTTTCCACGGCTTGTGAACTTTACTTACTGGGCAGTCCCCTTGCCGGGTCTCTGGTGTGGTGTCATCTTCTGTTTTGGCTGTGCTAAAGTTATATAGGCCTAAATTCTCAGGATAAAGTTAGCGGCCTAATTCTCAAAATGCTGACACACCCCCCCCCCCCCCACAGCTCCCTCTGGCTTCAGTAGGAGCTGGAGTGGTGCTCTGTGGACAGGAGTAATACCAAGAGAAGTGTTTCCATAGTGAAATAAGTTCTCTCCTTCCCCAAATAAATCTCCCAGTCCCCATGGAACGTGCAGAGTCCCACTAATGACCTCAGAGAGTCCTGGCCTGAGAATACCCCATTGCACTTCCAGATAACTAGTTGCCTTGGTGAATCAGTCTTGAAGCCAATCTTGTTCCCAGTTTCCATGACACTGATCAGTAAAGGGCACAACAGCAGCATCCACAAAATACCTGTCTGTCTGTCTCCCTGTCATGTGATACCCCAGACTTCTCCCCCAGGGCACCCTGGTGTAACTGTCACGTCTCTTGCAGCGACGCTGGAAACATGAGGTATGTCAGCACTCGAGGAGAAGCCAGGAGCGTTGACTTTGAAGGAGCCCTCTTTTCTGGCTATGCACCGGATGGTGGCCTTTTCATGCCCCAGGAAATCCCTACCCTGGACTATAACACCCTGCGAACATGGAGTGCCTTCTCCTATCCAGAGCTGGTGAAAGAGCTGAGTTCACTCTTCATCTCGTCTGAACTAATCCCACGGAAAGAGCTGAATGGTAAACGCAAACCAGACAGCAATTCAAGCAGTGTGCTGTAGGGTTCGCTCTATTTGTATCAAAGCTTTTAGATGACTATTATTTTATCCTGTATTAACCCATCAGCCTAATAACCCTGATCCTCACTGGACCTCTGAAGGTCCTTAGTGGCCAGAATCTCCATGGTTATTATAATGTTAGCTTGTTCTTTCTCTCCTCCAATTGTTTCATCCACTGGATGTGTCTTGTTGTTAAACTAGATTGTTGGAGATCTGCTTCTCTTCTGAAGACTAGCAGAAGATTCTCTTTAAATGAACACAGGGCCAAATTCTGTCTATGTCTATAAATGTCATTCTCGTAGAGGGCTAATGCAGTTTCCAAGGTTGCTGTACGAAGGCAGATCTCTGCTGCAAGTGGGTGCAAATACAGTGTGTATAACGTTTCAGAATCGTTGCTATTTTGTGCTGGCTGCAGCAGTCCCTGCCCACATGGCTGTTCCATGTAGAACATGGGAGCATATCAGATGAGACCTTTGGTGTATCCCAGGGTGTACATGGGAAAGATAAGCAGGCTCTGTCACCTTTGTGGCTTCTATCATAGAAGACCTGTGAAGCCCTAAGTGGTTTTTGATTGGTGTAGACAGGATTAAGGAGGAAATTTCCTCTCTTCCTGTGTGTGTAGTTTTTCTCTGCCTTTGGGTAGCACCCTGTCAGAATTTGGCCCACACTGTTTTAAGTAACACATATTTGTAAACAGAAGTAAAAGCAAATGTGGCAAATTGATTGCTCCTTCTGCCAGGTGTTCCTGGTTCTATATTTTCCCTTTGCAAAATGGATTACAAAACAAGCATGTAACATGAAGCCAGGTGTAGGTTTTGGTAAAGAAAACTTGTAACAAATCGGTGGCCTCTTGGTGCTTCAGAGCTGTCACTGTGGTGCACTCCATGGATGCCCAAATTTCTCTCCGACAGTGGGAAAAGAGTTTGGATTCTCCTGCTGTAAAAGCAGCATCTCCTTAGCTGTCAGTTGTAAACGGCCTCTGACAGACAGTTGCGCAGTTCTGTTTATACAGTTAGATTTTATTATAGCACCTATCCAAAGCCTCACTGCGTCCATTAGAGAGCAGTGGGGACCATCCACCTGAGCTGGTTCACTGCAACATTGGTTGATTCTTGTTTTAATTGTTCAAATAGTTCTGATTGGGTCAGATCCTCAGTTGGTATAAATCAGCACGGCTCTGTTAAGGTCAGTGGTCCTGTCCAATTTACACTGAGGAGCAGACTCTTAATTTGTAAGAGAATAATGTGTTGGGCTTCTGTCTATCACTTCCTCAGCTCTGCGGTACTGGAGAGTCTTTGGTTTTTCAGTAAAGATTCTCATGAGCTTGGCAAACCATGATCATGCAGGTGATGTGTTGGAGGTTTGTTCCTGGTACCTGTTCTAACAGTCCCCTTCAACTGCTTCCCTCCAGATCTGATTGACAGCGCCTTCCGGAGGTTCCGGCACAACAACGTTGTGCATCTGGCCAGGCTGAAGGATGGGCTGAATGTTTTGGAGCTCTGGCATGGTGTAACTTATGCCTTTAAGGACTTGTCCTTGTCCTGCACAGGGCAGTTTTTACAGTACTTCCTGAAGAAAAGGAAGCAGCACATCACTATTCTAGTCGGTAGGTTACAGCTAAACAGATGGGTGCAAGCAATGTACTTGGAATTTATGCCAGTGAGAGGTTGTGTGTGTGTGTATGTATATATATACACACATAATACCATCCTATTCGTGCTTATGAGTGGAACTGGATTGATAACCCTGGAGGCTTACATCCTAGATATCTCCGGAACAGGGCAGCCAGTATTCCTCACTTGACCTAGAGGGCATCTTTACTGGTTCAGCCTCCCATTCATTCCTTGGTGCCACTGGTGGTAGTGGTTTGTGATGCAGACACTTGCCTACTGGAAGGTGTTCATTTTCCAGTATTAAATGCCACACACACAGCACTAACCAAAAATATCCCGGACTGAGAACTACACCCTTCTTCTGTGTGAAAACACAAATGTGGCTGATCTTTCAGTCTTTAATTAACTCTTAATTAGTAGATATAATTATTTTCTCTTTGATTATTTTCATGTGAAACAGGAACTTCGGGAGACACCGGTAGCGCGGCAATTGAAAGTGTGCGAGGGGAAAACAACATGGACATCTTTGTCCTGTTACCCAAAGGTCTCTGCAGCCAGATACAAGAACTGCAGATGACGACGGTGATCGAAGAGAACGTCCATGTCTTTATTGGTTTGCGTTTTGTTGA